TAAAAAGAACGGCTCTCACCGAGTACGACTCGGTTCCCTTCATTCGTACCAGAAAGCCGTTCAAAATAATCGGATTGTTCGCAAAAATAACATCACTATCATGTATACAGTTCTTATGAGATGATAGATGATAGAGATGATAGAGACCCAGTAAAGGTGAAAGGTGAAGGTGTGTGTGTATACATCCCACAACTGTAACTATGCTAGAGACCACAGCTAAACTGCCTGTAACCAAGCAGCTCCAATGTTGGAATTTGTCTTTTTAATAATGCTCCAGAATAAGGCAGGTATGATGGATATGGGAGTGAGTTCTACCCTATAATTATATGTGATATACCATATCAATGAAGGGTGCTACAGTCGTCAATGTACAATCTCGCCTGTCTCTCATCTGATGTAGAGGCTTTAGAAGTTTGACAAAAAAATACAAAACCTACTTTAAAATCCATTATCTTTTCAGTATCACAGCTTTAACGACTGCAGAGTTTATTTTGTGGAAGTTTCATGTCTTTATATTTTGAGATGTTATTTCCGACCCAGTCTCACGGCATTTCGTGTTATAGTCACGACATTTAATCTATTGATTCGTGTTCACCATTACAATTTCCCCCTTTTTTTGGTGTCACACAGAACGATTTTAAAAGCAATGTATTTCTATTGGTAGTATGTTTTGTGCCTGCACCGCGTATTTTTGTCCGGTCGGGTCTTGGAAGACCGGAAGCTGTGTGGTTCATAAAAAAAATGTCTTACTCAATATCAAGCTACAATTATTGTTTTTGATTTAAATCGTATAATGTCGGACTTTTTTTGCCATCCGTGAGGAAAATAAATGGGGCTCAGAATACTGAAATATGTATTTTTTAAATCTTTTTTTGCTTCTAATTTGTTATTCTTTTCTAAATAACACACTGTTATTTACTCAACAATAACACACAATTATCCTTGTTTTTATTTATTTGTTTAATTCTATAATATCTGGCTTTTTTCAAAATAAAGTCACCGGAAACAGACGCAGGCGATACACACCCAATGAACTGATTACCCAAGATCCTCAGCAATGGTTGAAGCTCGGTGATTGGATGTTTTAGCCGCAATGCACGTTGGGATATGGTGTTAATGCGATATGAAATAACTATCAACAGAATTGCGTTGCCAGGCAACAGCTTGGGGTGAACCCAGTATTTCCGGTCTCAAAGTTTGCATAGTAATCTGCAGTACTCATCAACTAAAAACATCAGTTTATCCTTGTTAATTACACAACATTGATTGGTTTAAATTGTGTACAATGCTTTTGTGTTTTCTCCCTTCGATTTGGAGAAACAAATAGTTTTTTAGGAGTTTAGGATGGCCGAAGACACTACACTACCCATAATCCTCAGCTATAGTTTGGGACTACAGTCCCTTTGCTTGACAAACCCCGTGATTAATCTTCAACCTCTGTGATTGGATGTTGGAGTGGCAGTGTGCCAAGGTTACGCCGAGCGTCAAACAGCTCTATTTAAATGGAATGAAACCACAGCAGACTATCCAAAACTGGACTCGAACGGGTCCAGTTTGCAGATTCTGATTAATGATGTGAAATATAAACAACCCTTAAATCAGACTTTAGTTACACCTGAGTAAAATTCAGGGAAGGTGATTCTCAAGTGCCAACAATCAGGAGAGATATTTGATAGTTGGTGCTTGAGAAGACTAAATATTTATCTGCAGATCCCTATAAAGTATATTCATTACTCGTTATTCTCTACTAATAGTTAATTAAAGACTGTATATAATTGCTATTTTGCACATCCCTTTCAAGATTTCACGATTTTCTAAGGTTTATTGACATATCATATACACAACTACGGTGTAGTTATGCAATGAATGAAAAACTTGGGTCGCAGGTTCCTCAACAGTGCATTACAAGACATCTATCAATATGTGTGTACCTCCACCATTAAACTGTCATATTCTGCACATTTCTTATACTATCTACATACATAAGAGTATAATTCATATGTATAATATCAGTTAAAATAAGTGCTTCAACATAGTTAACAATGCAGGAAAGCAATATATTAGACGTTAAGTACTTTGTCAGGCTTAATATTTATCTGTAGATACCCCCAAAGCTTTTTTCTTATTTAAAAGAAGACCTTAATCTAAAGTATTCTTTAATGTGTTAATAAAGGTTAATTAGTTTGTCTGTTTTGCACATCCTCATATTAATATCTTTGTACATCCTGCACTAAACTGTTTTATTGTAGAGATCACTTACAGTATCTTCTTGATTTTTTATATTCTATATTTCTATCATTGACCTTCTACTTTCCCCCTATGAAAGTATGTACTCATATTTTTTTCATCCAATATAACATATTCAACAAAACAATTCAATAACGTGCTTTAACCACTAGGCGGTGCGGGTTAAAAAACTGTCAAATTGAAAGTGTTAACACAACAAATTATTAGGGCTGCCAGTCGATTAAAATATTTAATCGCGATTAATCGCATGACGTTCATAGTTAATTGCGATTAATCGCAAATTAATCACACATTTTTTATCTGTTCTAAATGTACCTTAGAGGAATATTTTTCAAGTTTTTAATACTCTTATCAACATATGATTGGACAAATATGCTTTAGGCAAATGTTTGTTTATTATCATTTGAACAATGACAAATATTCTCCTGAATATTCTCAACACAACAACCTGGAACCTCTCTCTCTCTCTTATGGCGCATTTCCACTGCAGGGCCTCGCTCGGCTTAGTACAGTATAGTTAGGCCTTGTTAGGCCTTGTTAGGACTGGCTCACTTTATGCTGCGTTTCCATTAGAGTTTAGTAGTTGGGGCAGTAACTATAGTAACGCAATGTAGGTGGAGCCATGACGTCATCTTCAATGCGAACCACAGAAAAACAACATCAGCCGTTAGCGGTTAGCACTCAGAGCTCACAGCTCCTCATATCTGTTCAGAAACTAGACAAAAGTTAAACAAGTACAAACCACAAACTGTCTGTGTCATGGTGAATACAGTCGCTGGTTTATTTATGTCTGTAGGCCGTTGTTGTGAGTGTGGACGGTCGGAGCATATACTGCGTTAGCTTAGCCGATCTCCATTTAGAAAACACGCATTTTAAAAGGGTTTTCCGCCTGCCGTCTGTCTGCAGACTTGTCAAAGCATTAATTCATGGTTTTTACTAACCGGTATCAGTATGTTGTTACTTCAGCATCATTTTTGAAACGTGTATTAAAATTAAATCACGGTCAAATATGTTCATTTTGTTGTAGTTGTAGCCCCCTTGCCAGCGATTCTCTCTCTAGTTTAGCATACTCAGCCCGACTCAGCCTGGTTGTTGGCCCAGAAAGAACCTCGATTTTATGGGGCCAGAAAAACTGTGAAATAATACCCGCTAGCCGGAACTACGCCAAGTGGAAATGCAACCAAAAACGCTTAAACCGCGCTCCACGCTGTAGTGGAAGTGCGCCATTATACTCTCTCCCAAGCGTGATCTGCCGCAAGCGAGCGGCAGGAGCGGGGCTGTCAGCATCAGCTGTGTGCTTGGCTTGCTGTTTAAAACACCTTTTTTTTGTATCCATATCTCTCGCTAGAATCTCCCACCATCCAACTAACAACAACAACAACATCAAGCCTTCGGACTCTGAAACTACGGGGCGGGACGAGGACAAATACACATACGTTAATCGCACGTTAAAATAATTAGTGGCATTAAAAAAAGATTGCGTTAACGCGTTATTAACGCGTTAACTTGACAGCCCTACAAATTATACTTTGTATTATTAGTGTAGGACACTTATGTATATATAAGATCTGAAGATGTGTAGTTTTATTCATGTTTTCACATAATTTTACAGGATACTGGACACGTTTTACTTCTACACATTAATATCTGATTTGTAAAAAATCACAGACAGAAAGGTATATCCGTCATTTAATGGTAAGCTATTGAAATTCTGAATCCATAGATGTGTCTCCCATCACCCAAAACCCCTGACTATTCTCTCAACTCAGTATTTACATTCTCATATTCAAAGAAAATCAGTAATATCTTTAAAAACGACAGGTCCCTGCCTATCAGCTGTGCACCGCTACCTATCTACCAATTGGATCAAATATAAGGAGACGTATTGTGTGAAGAGAAATTTAAGATGTTGTTTAATTGCTGATATATTTATGATCCACGTCACATATTCAGTTTTGGCGGCAGTTCTTCCAGTTTGTCTAGAAGTCTTCTAATCAGGGCTCTATAAATAAAGAACTACTGCAGATGTGTAATATTTAATGCAGCCAAACCGTGTATTACAATGCCGTTATGTGATGCAAGCACACTCGGAATAAAGTATTATTATTTTTTTTTTTTTTATGTTTTCGGATTTCATATTGCATAAAGACCATATCCCAACTTGCATTGCGGCTAAAACATCCAATCACCGAGCATCAACCATAGCTGAGGATCTTGGGTAATCAGTTCAGTGGGTGTGTATCGCCTACGTCTGTTTCCGGTGACTTTATTTTGAAATGCAGTTCCTGACGGACGACAAAAAAGCCCAATATTATAGAATTAAACAAATAAATAAAAACAAGGATAATTGTGTGATATTGTTGAGTAAATAACAGTGTGTTATTTACAAAAGATTAACAAATTAGAAGGAAAGAAAGATTTAAAAAATACAGATTTCAGTATTTTGAGGCTCTGAGCCCCATTTATTTTCCTCACAGACGACAAAAAAAGTCAGACATTATACGATTTAAAATAAAAACAATAATCGTGGCTTGATATTGAGTAAGAACATGTTTTTATGAACCACACAGCTTCCCGTCTACCAAGACCCGACCGGACAAAAAGACGCGGTGCAGGCACGAAACATACTACCAATACAAATACATTGCTTTTCAATTGTTCTATGTGACACGAAAAAAAGGGGAAAATCGTGTTGGTGAACACAAATCAATAGATTAAATGTCGTGACTATAACACAAAATGCAGTGAGACTGTTATTTCAGGTATGGGGCTCCCACACTGCTTTATAATAAGATATTCAGCAAAGAGTACACAGTCTGTTGCTTCAATGGTAAAACAATAGTAAAACCGATCACACAATGACATTATAACAAATAATCTTCACTGGATGTACTCATCTCAGAGTCCCATAATACTAGTTTGTGATTTGAGTGACTAGTATACGGGAAATGTGGTATATTTAGCATTGAAAATGTCTGATTAAAATAGTAAAATAACTTACTATTAATATAGTGATATTGCTGGAGTGACTTTACTATGTGGTCACTTCAATGACTGCTACGGGTTGTACATTAAATAATAAATATAATGGCAATCAAAAAATAAAATGAATTACTCTTGTTAACGACTCTAATGGAGCCATTATGTTAGCAAATCAATTAAACACCTTAGCATGAATTTGTTTTTCCACCAGCCAAGGTGTAAGCCAGTGACATATTTAACATGTTGTCAAATGTAGGAAAACACCAACTGAACACAAGGCAAACTGAAAAAATATATACAAAAAAAGATTGTAGCTGTTAGCATTTATGCTAACAGGCAACCCTTACCCTGCAATGCACTGGAAATCAGACATTAACTGAAGGACTTTATCAGCATCTACACATTTTACCTTCTTAACTACAAAACAGAAATACATTGACCATTCTCAAAATGCATTCTGTTTTAGTTTTAGATTAGATGACACTTTCATAAAATGTGTAAAACATGACAATTTATATCAAGCCCAGTAATTGACTTGTAGCTATATTGTGTCAGGGCTCTAAAAATGGCCATACGAGTCTGACTTTAACCAGACTTGAAATATCTTGAAAATATTACTTGGATTATTATTTACATTAATCTTTCAACTGATTTCCGTGAGCCTGTACATTGTCCTGTAGCTTAAAGGACAACCAGCGGCATAGCTAACCAAATTGAACGGCAACTAGCAGGTACTTTAGCCAAAAGTTAAGGTATCTGTCCATCGCTCCATAAAGCACATGATCAGTACTCTTTTCTGTCTTCAAACTGTCTATAATATCTTATGACATCTTAATTAAAACCCCAAACAGTTTCACTGGTGAAGTCTAGAGACAGTTAACTAGTTCTAATTGTACCGCTTTAGTTGAGGTCAAGGAAAATATGAATGACCCATTTATATCAATCCAATGAAAGCCAATATCAAACCCAGCCCATATAGCATTGTGATTTAATTAAAACATAAAGCCCTTAGTTCAATTTTGGTATGACAGGTTTATGGTGATGTTCTCCTGGGTGATGTGAAGTTGTCAACAAAGACATCTTAAACAATGGCAACTTTGCATTACAAATAACATAGTCGACCAAAGGACTCCTTTATGTTTAGGTGTCAATCCAACCCCATCAAAAAAGTGTTACCCAAATGGTTATGACATTAAGTATAAGTGGTTTGGGGTGGAAAGGCTAACACATCCTTTAAATGGAAGAAGAGTATCTGATGATTTTACATTAGTCAGTTAAGCATTTATCTTATTCCAACATTCCGTCTTTATAGTGCACTGTGTGGGGCCACTATTTACTTTGTTAATCACATCGATGAGCCTACATCTGTCAGTTACATTTTGACTAAATGTTTCCTATCTTCTCCAACTCCTCCTCTACCCGCTCTGCTTCTTCCTCCTGCGATACTTTGCAGTCCCTAATATCTTCCATCTCCACCATATCTTCCTTCTCTTGGACCACCCTTGGCCTAACCTCTGCTACAGGGGTCTCTCTACTTTGACTTGCAGGTTGAACAACACCTGAAACAAAGACATCTCCCCCCTGACCAAAGGCTAGACTAATTATTGCTCTTTCTGATTCAATCCTTGTTTCAGAAGTCTCTCCTTTCTGGTCTTTTATTAAGGTAGAGGATTCTACAGAAAATTCTCGGCTGCTGTCAGGGCTGGCTTTAACAACGGTCACACTACTTATTCTGCCCCCTACAGGTGAGGAGGGGGACAGAGTTGTGCTAGGGGACGGAGGCAAACTGCTCAGTCTGTCTTTAGAAAGCTGATCAGGTGGAGAGTAAAGGGCAGAACCTGGAGAATCGCCCTCGACTGGCGAGAGTTTAGCCGTTTTGAGAATCCCCACCCTCTGTAATTCTGTCTTTTCTTCAGTCGTTGGGGTTCTGGCTCCTTCCAGCACTTGTTCCTTTGGAGATAATGGGATAGAAAGCATATCCTGTTTGGTCAACGATGTTATGGACGTCAGACTTCCCGACTTTGAATTTGGACCCGGTGAACTTCTGGAGGACCGGTTTCCGTCGGCTGGAGTAGAAGAAGGGTTTTGTGGGGATACTGGAACGGTGTCAAGTCTGGGGCTACCAATCATAGCAGGTGAGGGAGTTCTGACTTGTAATGGACTAGCACTTTTTCCAAAGGATGAAGATGGAACGGGTGATTGGCTAGTCAACGCTCTGCCTGATGGGAGTTTGGGGCAGGGAGTGAGGGCAGGGGAAAGAGTTGTTTTTGCAGCCTCTGGTGGAGTATTTCTTAAACTTAGTTTAGGGCTCGCTGTGACCACGGGTGAGATATGAGTTTTTAATGAAGTGTCTGAAGAGGGGGTCTTGATTGGGAACGAAGATGGAGAGGATGAACCTAAGCTTATTAAAACTTGGCTGGCACTCAATCCTGATTCCAGATCAGCGCTGGAGCTTGGGTCCGTGGGAGTTTTTGTAACTGTAAAACCTGTGCTAGAACAGGGTTCAGGTCGAACATTAAGAAGGACAGGAGTTAAACCCGGAATGGATCCATGCATGGGGGCAATTGGAGTAGAGGTCTGTAGAGGTCCAGGATCAAATGCATCTTCATTTTTTGACATCTTATCCTCGGTCGTAGATGCTTGTCCAAAAGATGGAATGGCAAGAGAAGTGGGTGCCGAAGCTGATGTAATCCCAACGGAAGGTTTGATCCCCAGGCTCGTATGAGGTTGAGGACTAGGCTCATGTTTAGAGCCACCCTCTGGACCAGACTTGGAGCCAGGGGACTGATCCTTAGCTTTGGAATAGGGAGAATTAACAGAAGCTGAAGTTGTATTCTCATATTGAGGTGAAGCAGGCGTTTCATTCTTTAAGTTCTCCGCTTCAAGTTTGATACCAGGTTTAGTACCACGTTCAAATGCGACTTCAATGTTCTCTGCCGGCAGAAGTTCCTCTAGAACTACAGGTTGCTGCTGAATAGCAAGTCTTACAGCTGCAGTGTCCCTGCCTGTCCCCTCTCTGACTTTAATGCCGCTGGGGTCGCTGCCACGCCTCAGCCCGAATATGCTAACACTCTTCTTGCGTTTCCCCACATTCGGAGCCACCACGTTGGAGCCGTCGAACATGCTTCTTAGATTGTAAACACCCTCCTTCCGCTCCTCGCTGTCCTGGGATTGGTCCAGCTGGTCCCCTGAACTGCCCAATGGATTAGGGCCTCCATGGAGCTTCTTATCAGTGTGTATCACCCTGAACCTGAATAGATTATGATACATTCAGGATTATGAGTTTTGCTACCCCTTCCCAACATGCACTAATTACAAAGTAGTTGAATTGTTACCTTCCAACAGAGAAGACAGTCTGCTCTCCAGGTCGTTGTTTAATACGGGGGGTTCGGCTTTGTTGCCGGCCCTTTTTAGATCGGACCTGAGCACACAGGTGGCAGGAGTTGTGGCCGGTGCCTGAGTGGACTGTGTGGTGATGGGGAGGAACACCACCAAGGGACTCCTTACGTAGCCTGAGCATAAAACATCATCAGATCAGTAATATGAGATATAAGATAAGAGTTATTTTGTTGATGTACATACGTATTTATACACTCGCTTCCACATAACCATATTGTTTTCCACTGGACCAAGAGTGAAATCTGGAATAGGTGTTGGCAGTGTGTTCTCGGTCAGGGAGGTGGAGTTAGGACTTCAACAGCAATGGTCACACCAAAATAATTGGTGCACTGGACTCTTGATAGTTTATAATACAATTGTGTCATATTTGTCTGGGTAGTCATTGGTCATTTTATCATGAAAAGTGTTCCTATTATAGTGGTATGAGTATTGTTTTGGATGTGTGTAGTCTAAAGCTAGAACTAAACTCCTCCTGGTTGAATGTAAGCCAACATTTGGGTGTTGTTTGGTCCCATTGAGAATAACACTTTGGCAATGTTTAAAGTACTTCAAATGCTTTACTTACTACTTACAGGGAAATCAGTGACATTATGATTCTTTAAAAAAAAAAGACAATGTTTACATTAATTTAGGGGATTCCAGTATTTAAGGAGCTAAATTAAAAAAAACATTTTTCCCTCTGACATGCAGTAAACAGCAAATGTGTCACACTACTACAGACTGCTGGACCAGCTTACCTGGGGTCGTGGCGCACACACACCTTCTGGTTTCCAAACATCTCATTGAAGGCTTCCATGTTAGCTAGAGGTGACAAAAGGAAAATACATATGAGGGTGGTACTTACGTTTAGAAAGATTTGCTAATGGAAACCTTTTTTATCTGAATGGAATTATAATGTAGAATAAATACATGATGCATTGAAGGGTTTACGGCAGTGAAAAAGAAGAGTAAAATAGAACACAGTAAAGGAGAAGGATAAAGGACTAATGGAAAGACTTATGTTGATTCTTTGGAACTTTAACAGAAATGAATCCAAAATACTATACAGAAGTTATTTAGTCACCTTCATTTTCAATAATGCATTTGAGGATCTGCTCCACAGTGTCCTGGTTCTCCTCATCATCTTCTGAAACACAGTAGAACAAGGAAAAGGATAAACTTTTAAATATTGCAGAACATATAAAATGAACTGCTTGCAGTAGTGTGAAAAGGGCCAAGACTGAATTGAAGTTCTTTCAGTTTGTCTATCAATGCTGCAGGAAGTGTACCAGCAATCTCAAAACAAGGATTTGAGATAGAGCAATAGTATGTTTGTTTGCACTTTAGTTTGTGGGATTTGTTCCATTACTGCCACTGACGGAGATGAGTCAGATTCATGTTTTTTTCTTGATGTTAACACCAGGCCGTTGCTCAGTCCTGTGCATTAGAAGGTTGGCTTGGTCTGAGCCCTTCCATTCTGTCCATTCACAGAGCAGGTGTATTAGTGTGTGGACTTATTTAGAGGTTCCATGTCTATTCTCAACCCACCGTCTGCATTTATGCCGATCTTCTCCTCCTCCCCCTCTTCCTCATCCAATTCTCCGGTGCGGCAGCGGTAGCCCTTCTTCTTCAGGAGGTGGCAGACAAGGAAGCCAAACAGTCCGGTGAGGAAGAAGAGGAAGACCACCACAAAGATCATGTAGGGTGGGGGCTCATCCCCCCCTTCAGAGACGTCTAATTCAGTCATAACGCCGGTTTAACCTGAGACATGGAGAGACAGATAAGAATAATCATTTCTGCGTACTTTCAGCAATTTCAGTTTTATCTACTAAAGTGAAAACATGATGTTCAGCTCAGCGTGGGACAACTGGGACATTAGAGTAAAAAACACATTTGTGAGACTGTACTCTGTTGACAGTGGCGTTTTTATATGTACAAAAGTGGTGGGGCACAAAAAATGTAGATGTCTATATATAAGCTTCTGCAGTGAGGTTCATGGCTGGTGAGGCACTGGCACTGACTCTTCAGGTTTACAAATATTATATTTTGACCTAAATCAAAATATAATATTATTTTCAAAAGCTTTTTTTGTCTGATGATTCAATTAATTTTAAACAGACAGTTCAACAGAAGGATACCCAAAAAATGTAATTTTATCATTTAAATATTGAATTGTTCTCTCTTAGTAAGATCCCATTTTCAATCAAATTGCAGTCTTACCTTGACTTGAAGATTAAGTCCATTTGCCTATCCCTCTGGACAAAAATCTCTATTACTTTTTTGTAAAAGTCCTCCTTATGTTCTTGTAGTTTCAAAAGTCTATCATAAATCTAATCTAATCAATAGATTTATGATTCGAAAATGATAAAAGTAGGGTAGACATGTGGATATTATCCGGCTGAACAAAACGTGCATTTATCTAACAGCTACGTTTCCCACAGACCTTATTTGGAGCTATTTTCTAAAATCCTATGGAGAAATCTCATTGCTTTTTTGTCGAGGGAAGCCATGCGCAGCTTACTTCCGGGTTTTAGGATGCGTCACTGCAGCTCTCTCGTCTCCTCTTCACACACCACACTTTTCGCGGCACACGTACTTACAGCCAATCAGCTCTGAATTATGTGAGATGACGTATGGTGGGGATGGTAGCTATTTTTTTGCCACACACAGTAAATAGGAAAATATTCTGAGCATGCGCAGTGTAGTTTTTACAGTCACCATTGACTTAGACAGTGAGAGGGAGGGGCATGATCGGGTTTTGTCCCACATGGCTCTAAACAGCTCAATAGGCACACACTGTAGACACTAATTAGAAGAGTACAGACTAAAAGGAGTATTTGGTCATAAAGCAAAGTATAAATCCATCCATAATAATGGAGGCATTTCACTCAAAACCACATACCTCAAAGTGGAGCAAGAGTAAATATGTGATGTGTGTCTTATTAGCTTAATGCTATGTTGCTTGGCCCAGATAAAAAACATGAGAAAGACAGCCACTTACATTATACAACATCCACATAATACCCACATATTACAGACACATTATATATTATATATATATATATGTTGTCTTACCAGATAAAAGCTATAATGACAGAGTAATCAGTAAGGAATCTAGTCAGTGTGAGGACATGCTGTTGCTTAATGTGTGGAGAGTTCTACAAGCTGAATAGGAGATACCTTACTTTGAGTATCACCCCCCACACCTAGCCTCGGTTTAGAGAGTTAAACCAATCAAAAGGTACTGGCTTGGGGGTTGGTTTAAATTGCCTTATGTTGCAGAATGGTTAACATCAGGAGTCTGTCAAAAAAACTGAATTAGATCAAATTAGCCTTCTGGAAAATGTTCACAAACCAGATAGACCAGCCGTCATCAGCAGTTATTTGTCTCCTATCCTCTCTGCCAATGAGATTCTCAGCCAGAAGATACAAATGATACTCTTTTCAACCATTCTGTCCTCGGTAAGTGCCTCTTACCAAATGTGTTTATTCTAGAACCTGTACAAATATTATCAAACCAGAGAAACATAATTCTGGGGCATGGAGTGAGACAGGAGTCCTGTCTGAGACCAACACAGTTTCTTAATTACATCAAAAAACAATCCCCAGTCCTACGTCTCCTTGAGATTAACATTAAGTTCCTGCTCAACGCCAATTAAATAGTTCCAAATGTCAACAGAAGAGGGTTTACAACGACGTCATGGTAATCCAGAGGAGAGAAAAGTCTCAGTGAAATAGACACAACTGCACCCTGGGTAACACCGTGCCAGAACAGAGCTCAAACTTCTATCAGGTGGTTCCAACCTGGCCATAAAACAAAGTGTTAAAAGGCTTGGGGAGCTTTGAATGCAAATAAAAGCGATTTGGAAAAATATTTCATGAATATTGCTCAACATCTACGATTCTCTTTCCAGGCCAATTTTGTTCCCTGTTTTAAAACAAGAATTTGAAAACCAAGTCTGAAACACCCTGAGTAATGCTTGCAGAAATAGCTACCCGATAACAATTATCTTGCATGCAAAGCTCAACTGAGCAATCAGCAATCTCCAAGTGTAACCCCCTTCTGGACCAGCTGATAATACGTTAAACACCTCAGTCAGAAGCCAGAGACACCGTCCTCCATCATACCAGACTAAGCTATTGACAGACGTTTAAGCTTTATTTCTTTTTTATCTTCCACTAGTTTTCTTAGTCAGCTTAAAAAAATGAATAATTACATAAATAAAGAATATTTTTAAGCACAACAATGCAGATATACACACACGGCATAGTATTATGCCTGATATTGCTGTGATGTTCTTACTTTAAATACCTTTTTGTTATGCAATTGCTATAGCTATAATCCCCTACAAATGCAGTACATTATAAAATACAGTAACCTAGCAGTATTATTCCTCTATCTTCCTGTATGGCTGATATTGAGGAATACTACATATTTCTTACCATCTCCCTGCCGGTCCCAGTGAAAACATCGGAACATGTCAAAGTCAGCATGATCAATGTGAAATATGTGTGTTGAATAAGAAGCTAAAAGCAGCAGTGTGTGCCCCTCCTGCGTAGAAAGGGTTCCCCTCAGCCCCACCTACCTGTCTATCTACAGATGACGTGTGTGAGTACACACAAATGTACACAGACATTTAATAACAATATTTGCTCTAATTATAGGTACATAATAAATGATGTCCATCCATTTATGTATATGACCTGTTTATGTACAAAACATGAAGTTTTAATAGTGTACATGCACACACACAGTTAGAGCATGACTCAACATATAGCAGCTTATCTTGGCCCCCCCTACTGACTTATCACACACACACACACACACACACACACACACACACACACACACACACACACACACACACACACACACACACACACACACACACACACACACACACACACACACACACACACACACACACACACACACAGAGAGAAGAAACTGGGATGTTGGGGTTAATATTAAATTGAACCTCTTTTTTTCATTTAAATTAATAGTATTGCTTTCAACAATCCTAACACAGTTAATGTCATTTGTTGACATTATACATTTCATTAGAGTCAACATTTCAGTTTTTTCAGTGCACTGACAAACACACACATGCACACACACTGGATTGTTAAGCATTGATATCATTTAGGATGGGATTAGCGCAACATTAAACACCTTCAAAATGTAACTTCGTCATTTTTCTATCCATCCGTCCGTCCGTCCGTTTATCCATCCATCTTTTATGACTGTAACAGGGCACCGTATATCTCACCTGGAGCAGGCGCCCCATGAACTCCACAGAAGCCTTCACTGCGTGTCCCCCTCCCGCTTTCCTGTCTTGCTGTGCTGATCCTATCAGATAAAGGCAAAAAGACATAACCCTGTATTGAGTGAAGGAGAATAAGCTGTACCCAGCATGCCGTTCTGCAGTGTAGCAGATCATGCTTGAAACAGAGGGTGTATCAGGGTACTTCTGTGTGTACTGTCAGTCACTGTGCTCAGGTATCACACCGTCTCTGTAGGACCAGATAGCTCTGGCTCTGTGCTTTAGTTTGTGTGTTCCAGTTGGGGATGTGGTTTGGGTTCTAGTCTGTTACAATTTGGTTGAATCTTGACCTGTTGTCAGGCTGCTAGCAGAGTGAGGGGATTCTTCTCTTTGCTCAGTTCCTGGCATTGTATTTTTTTGTTGGCAATAGCAGTGGGGGTCACTGTTTCTAAGTTTGAAGCAGGTATTTTATTTCTCTTAGTTTGATTTTGAGCTGTAATGGGATTTCGCCTTATTTAGTAGGCTTTAATTGTAGTTTTTTGTGCACCTACAAGATGTTTTGAAGGACTCTGAATCCATTATGTTGTCCAATCTGGCCGACACTTGGTATGTGCCGGATTGGAATTGGTTCTTTGGCAGATTTGAGTAATGTCAGCCAGCTTTTTATAAACATTTGACAGTAAATGTGACTTTTTGTTTCATAGAATGCCCTGCATGCTTTCCTTCTCATGTACATTTACTGATGGGTTAAATATTTCCCAGTTCTGTTGTTTTTCTATTTTCTATGACTCAGAAAGTGTCTGTGGTGTCTTGTAAAAGATGCACAAAATGGCTGGAAAGAGGACAGCAGCTGTGGACTTCCAGTAAAGTGCATTATTTGATCTTTATCTGAAGGCTGGTAAACAGCACTGTTTGGTCTAGCTGCAGGCAGTGGCAAATCAATTCATGTTTCACCCTGAATACAAGTTTATTTTTGACCATTTTTCGTTATGTCAGCAGGTTTGACTGAAACACAACATCCCTTCTTGTTATATCTAATTAATGACCATGGATGTGATTTAATATAATAAAGCTACAGATGCAGGAAGAAACACAGGTCTGACACTGAGAGGAGATACTTATACACATTCTCTCTCCATTAAACACACACAGCTTAAAGAGGCAGAGAGGTGACTCAGCATAATCATGACCTCCGCAGAATGCTCTCTCAGTGACGTGTGTGTGAGTGTGTGTGTGTGTGTGTGTGTGTGTGTGTGTGTGTGTGTGTGTGTGTGTGTGTGTGTGTGTGTGTGTGTGTGTGTGTGTGTGTGTGTGTGTGTGTGTCATTGCGTCACTATAACAGTGTGCTCCAGAAGAGGGGGTGAGCTGGCTAAACTTGGTATATGAACACCATGAGCTGAAATGATGCAGCAAACCATGGCCTCTGTAAATGGTATTACGTGTAAACTTTAGGTTTAGTCAGGTGTATTATATTACATGTGCCTCTTAGGCTTAAATGAGAAGCACATACAAGCGTAAGTGGGTTTTATTTTGATTCTAAGATGTTCGAGGGCGGCACAATGATGCGTTGACAGCAACCCACCGTAGACTCCCCTGAAATCTTTTACTTCTAACCAGTGATGTAAAGTAACTCAGTACATTTACTCAAGTACTGTACTTAAGTAAAATGTTGAGGTGCTTGTACTTTACTTGAGTACTTCAATGTTTTGCTACTTTCCTTCTACTCAGAGGTACTATTTCAGAGGTAAATGGTGTACTTTTACTCCACTTATTTGATACCTTTAGTTACTTTACAGATGTGGATGAATGATGTGAAATATAATCAAGTATTAAATCAGACTTTAGTTCCACCTGGAGTAAATCCACAAGCTACCCTGCAGTATACAAAGCCATTCAAACTAGCTGCACCTTTACCAGCTTTGAGAACACTTTCATGATCAATCATTATAAAACATATCATATATATTATTCTGAAATGGACCAATCTGCACAATGACTACTTTTACTGTCGCTACTTTCACTATAATACTTTTCTACTTTTACTTGAGTAGCATTTTGAATGCAGGACTTTTACTTGTAACAGAGTATTCCTACACTCTGGTACTTCTACTTTTACTTAATGACACACTCTGAGTACTTCTTCCATCGCTGCTAGAGTTAAATGTACATTGTGAACTGACTACACTGAATGACCAGTGTTGAAGCAGTGGAAGTGACTGACTCACATTGTTGAACTTTTCTCTTAGACTTTAATTAAAATACCATGGAAATAACTAATCATGATGTGAAAGCTCTTTAGTAAATGATTGACTTTTAGTATTGTATGAAGCGGGACAGCAAGAACAGAAATCCAGTATCCATGTATTATGTGAATATTGTGTCAGACAGCTCAGAGAGGTTCCCTTGCTTTGACCACTTCCTCTGGTTTTTCACCCTAAGCTTTAACATCACCCACACTGTCAACTCCACCATATCAATCCTGACTTCATCATCACCAGCAAGCTTCTACTTTAGGGAATCCATATGTGTGTCCAACTAACACTTTTGCAGGAAATCCAACTTCGCCTTTAAATATTTTTCTGAATCCTTCACTTCACCCTTTAGAAGATAGAATGACCTCAGCTAACAGTATGTCATATGGATTTTTTTCCCCTAACTGTTTAGCACTGTCTGTTAATGGTCTGTATGAAAGTCTGACAAATCTGTCAAACAATTAAACAGGTAGCAATACTAAAGTGTAGAAATACTTTGGAAGAAGTTAAAGTACTGCATTACAATCTTACTTAACTGAAAGTACAAAAGTACGGACATCAAAATGTAGTATACATTATAGTAAAATTACTTGTTATGTTAAGGTGCACCTATCATGCTATTTTTAGGCAATAGCATAGGTCTCAGATATATACAAATATATAAAAAACATGTCTATGAAGTGTTTTTCTCAAAATACCAAACAGATCACCCATTCTAGCCATGCCTCATATCCCTCTATTTTCACTTCCTGTTTCAAAAGGGCATGCTCCCCCGGGAAGATGTTTTTTAAAATATTGAAGTTAAAAACATCAATCTGGTGCACTTTGAGAGCAACATTGAGAGATCTATGGATCAGAGTCCTGCATCGGGTCGGGTACCGCGGGTGTTATTTTTTCAAACGCTTTTTTCCGGGTTCGGTTCTGGGTAAAACAAAGATGATGCGGGTCGGGTCGCGGGTATTGCATAATAAATATATTAAAATAATAATAATTTAGTTTAATGTTTTAAATCCTCAGACCTCTCCCCCGCGGGACCGCGCATAATCATAACCTCTGCAGCGCATCAATCTGCTGCTGAGGTGAAGCTCTCTAGCGGAGAATACAGCATTTTCAATAACACTTCCTCAAGAGCGAAATCCAACGTCTGGGATGCTTTTGGTGTCATCCTTTTTATTTATGGATATTTATTATATTTATTGGGGGAGGGCAGGAATGTCAAATGGAAGGGCCCTCCCACGGTGCCGGGTCTGAGATAGATAGATGGATAGATGGGGTTATTAAGCCTACATTATTTTGTGTGACTGTACCTGCAGTTCCTCCCTGACTTCCATCACTTTCTCTCTCTCTCTGCCAAAGCTGAGCTTCGAATGACGTAGTCTTTTCATCATATCTGAGTCAGTGTAAAAAGAAAACAATACAATGTTATATCTTCAATGTTTTACTCAAATTGAAATGAAAGAAAGGCATTACAAGGTTTGTTAAAAGGTAATCCTTCTGACATTGGATGAATGTAATTAACTTTAGCTCTCTAGCTAGTTTATTCACGCAATTTAAACCAAAGTATAGCCTATAGCTGCAATATAAGTTAGTGTGCATGTTGTCGGACGTCCACTGACTAACGTAGAGCGTTCACACAGGATCTGCTGGTCATATGATGTCCTGATGAACAGAAACACAAGTAGCCCGCTGGACTCAGATCTCTAGATACCTCATCACTCCTTCGCTGCTCCGGTACAAGTCCGGGCTGCGGTGGTTTGTTGATACATGTCGTCTTCTCCTGTTTGCTTTAATCGAGGCTACATAGTTATGCAGTGCCCCCATCGTCAGTAAATGGAAGTACTACAATGAACCCCGTTTAGTGCAGTTATTTCACAAGTTTTGTTAAATACACAGCTCGGAAAAAATTATAGAGGTCCGGACCTCGGTGACCTCAATGGTGGATACGGCCCTGTGTGTATCTAATAACGTCATCACAATCGGCACATTGATATGCAAATTAGGCGTTAACTATAGTTAACGCCTAATTTGCAGTTACTAGTTTTATTTCCATTAGAGTGAAAGAAAACATGGAAGCAAACAGTAACTTCATAATTTTGATTGTTGGCTGCTCATTTAATAACTATTAATTTGACTCGTTTGTTGTCTGCTCTTGTGCATTGTGAATACTAAAGAAGACCATTGTCTCTGTGTTAGCTGATTATTTTTGTAGAATTCTGTTGAGTATTAAACAATTGCTTAAGTGTGAGGGTATTACAAATAAATTGGTCAGTAAGTCAGAGATGTGCAACTATATTTAACTTTTTGTTTTAAAACATTTTTTTATAAATGATTATGGGAAGTGCCCTTTTTCTCACTTGAACACACGCCCCCCAAAATGTCTGTGCACGTCCCTGCCGGTGACACATATGTATGTATAAAAGACATCAAAAAGTGCATTTTGCATGATAGGTCCCCTTTAAGTCTAAGATAGCCATAAGTCTATTTCTTTATTTAGAGATGAATGTGTTTGGTGTGGAAGATTTCCTTACACGTTTTTGTCATGTCAAACATCACTTTTCCACGCACAACTCCCTATCAACTAGCCGCAGTGAACAGAGACGGAGACAGTTCTAGCGAAACTTGTATGCGTGACTTCCGCTCCACGTTACTCCATCAGCACTGACATGAGCTCCATCTGATGAATATTTGAATAACGTCCCGTGGGAGGCCTGGGAACTGAGCTCTCTTCCCCCCGACTGAAGCGACTCCTCTACATTCCAGAACATGCTATTCTGTCCATGTTCTCAGTACTGAATACAAGTCCACAGTTAATGGAAGTATTTCAGTCCTCTTCACCTTGGGCCGTCCTACAGCAGCCACTCCTCTCCCAACGTGCCGCTGCTCTTTAATTATGTAAAATATTCTATCTACAGCGGCTTTACGTTCGACAGCTAACAAGGTCTAAAACAAGGTATATGAATACTTTAATTAAATCATTTGGCGCTGCTCTTGTTCGGCTCACACAAAAAGCCAATTACCACTATTCCCAAATGTAATTCACATTGCCTTTAACAAGGTAGCACGCAGTTTGTCAATGGCAAGTGAGGCGCAGTGTGTTCCGCGGCAGGAATAATCATACGAAACATTTCCAAACTTTTAACGTTGATATAAGAGGATATTATTGTATTAAATCATATCTACCTTTTTCTGAAACATTTTGGGTTTAATATTTTTGTTACATGTGCCTACCTATAGGCAGGGGCAGACTGGGACTAAAAATAATTTCACGACGGGGGTGCATAATTTGACACACCACCGGAACCCGGTCCCGATGGCCAGTCCGCCACTGCCTATAGGTAGAACCATCAAAGTGCGAGATTTTCCCAATGGAGTTTGGCTTGTCACTTTTCATGCAGGACACAGGATGGGGTTTATACACCGTATAGCACCATCACCGTAACGCTGATTCACTGCATGATCCTCCCCACCCTGTCCAACTATACCAAAACCACATCGTCATTTACATCTCTAGAACTGCGACCAGCCAAAGGGTCGCACACAGGGAGACCTTATCTAACCTTATCTGAAGGTTAAATAGCTAATCAGACAGTATATTAAAACAACTGCTACCTATTGGAGCACCAAACAGAGAGATGTAGCGTGCGACTCACCTTCAGGCAGGCAGGGGCACCGCCCGCTCCTCGGATGCTGTCCCATGCTGCAGCCTGCTCATGTCCTCTGGAGCAGGGGCTGCGCTGCTGAGCAGGGCAGGAGCACAGGAAGCTGCAGGGCATCTCTCGGGCTGCTCCATAGGATACTCCTGCTGCAGACCTACATGTAGCATTTGTTTATGCAGAGAGTCAGATGAGCTCCACGCAGCCTCATGTGCTGTTTTATTCCCTCCTTTATTCCCTCCACCCATTCTAACTATATCCAGAACACAAAACATGTATCAAGTTAATTATTTAGATAAACCCAATTAAATGGGTTTTGCACAATTTAAAAAAACCGTAAACATAACAGATAAGAAAATGTGCAAGAGGCACAAAAACCATTTACCTAAATAAAAGCTTAAAAATCACAATTTTATACAAAACACAAGGACAATATACAAACAATTGCTTGTGTAAAATGGCAAACTTTAAGAACAACATACAATACTTAAAACTTCAAGAGAACAACACTGATGTGAATATGAAAACCAGGCATCATACTGTGGTCGGATAATTGTTCAGGTGTTTTTAATGCGAGGTACAGGTATTTGCTATGATTGATATATTTGAATAATTTCAGTATATTTTTTAGTTGTTTGAAAACATATATTTTCATCAGAAGTACACTGCAAGTGTTAGGCAAAATTCAGCTGAGAACCCTATCAGTGATAGGGTTTAGTTTGAACCTGGAACCAATGTGTGCATATGCCAGAGCTGAATCTTTTTTGTTTTTAATTCTATCTATCCGTTTTTCTGTACCTCATGTAATCCTTCTTGACAAGAACTTTGAATCCCTGAAAACACTAATTCTAGATCTCAAACTGATTTCTCAACAACTATGTATTAGACCAATCTTTTTCTTCAACACACCTCCTGGATAATTTATGGTTTTTCACCGCCCTTCTTCTTCCCTGCTCAGAAGATAACACAACGTGCAGGACCTGAGTTGTTCTGCTGCACCTCAAGTAGATACAACATCTTCACCTTTTAAGGCGCTGCCCAAGGTACATGTCATCTTGGGAAATGTCTTGCATGAAGTGGTGCTCAAACATTCAGTGCAATACTCCTCCACAGGGCACCGAGCTGCAGCACAGAGCCCCACAGGAAGTCATTCCTGCCTGGGGCCAAACTGTTTCACTCCTCCCTCAGAGCATCACACTCTTAACAGACTGGCCATTGGACTCCCCCCCTCAGCAGCCATACACCCACACCAAACTGTGAAATACTGACTTTACCTACAATAACTTGTGCAATTATCAAAACTCTGCAACTATGTCATAATAATTTAAAAATAACTGATAAACATGAAACACATCTCATATGTTATCAAAACGAAATCACATAAACCATACATTGCAATAATACTGTACATATTTGTACATGCTGTTTTATATCGCAGTACAATATCCACATTTTTACTTATAGGTTATGCATGTATATTTTATTATTTATTGTTATTATATTCTCTAAGTATTTCTGGTTTAGATTGATTTGTATTCTTCATGGAAGCCGTGTCGATCTGGAGGAATATTATTTTGATCATTATTAGAGTCTTAATTATTCTCACAATTATTTTGAGTAGTTTTTCACTGCCTTCTTTGTTTAAAGATAATGTACTGAGCTGACTGTCATATGCAAATAATGACGTTTGTCAGGGAGTGCTTTATTTTGAAAAGCAGAACCGGAAGTGTTAGTAAAGGTCCGTCACCGATAGCTAACAAGCTAGTTGTTGTTGCTTCATCAACAGCTTCTAGATGAGCTAACTATTCTTTTGTGCTTCTGTCTAATGTGGCAAGTCGGTGATTGACATAGCCGTGGGACGTTGCCCAGCGCTGGGACCTGGGTGGAACTAGGCCAGGAGGCCTGAAGCTAAACGGGCATTTGCCAGTTACACTTTAACCTCGCCCACAGCTAACCTCTCTTGCTAGCGTTTACTCTGAACAACAGCACATCACAACCGCCTATGAAGTGCAGCTAGCTAACTCTACCAAGTTAGCTGTACCTAGCCCCACCAAGTTAGCTGTACCTAGCCCCGTTACCAGTCCTTCGAAGTAATGCACCTGAGGTAACGTCATGTTGTTTGATGTATCCTTTTTTTATTGCGGCTAGTAGCGTTAGCCGAGTCGGGTTATTCCACTTCCGCTTTCTTCCTAACGGCTTCTGTATTTACTTTGCCAACAAAAAAACCGTGTCACTCTAATTTTGATAAGCTAATTTAAGTATCCGTGTCATATCATTTGTAAATCCCGGTGGGCTTGGGTTTAACAGGATGTAAACAATTCACCTGTCACCATTAGCAGCTACCTAGCTCAGCTAGTGCTAAGCTTTAAGTCTTGTGACCTGCAGGGTGATCTGCTGTTCATGTTGGTGGTTCAATGACAACTTTGTTTTGAAATTCCCTTTTTGATAATTGTACCCCCCCTTTTTTTTGTAAAAAATAATATGTGTTTTCTGTATTTGGTGGAGCTGTGTGCAATTGACAATAACGCTTTTTTTTATTTGGAAAAATAAGTATATTATGTAATAACTACTTGTTATCCCTTAAATATGTAAACAGAAACACATCCCAATTATTGATAGAACATCTCTAAGCTCATTTAATAGACATGTCTAACATGCTGTAGCTTTGTATTCAGCACAGTAAGATCATCTCATAACATATGTTTCTTTTACAGTAATGTTGTTTTGTCCTGTGTAGGTGGATCCATTGATAACCCATCATGATGGCAGGTTCCCAGTGGGAGCTTCCTCCAGAGCTATGTTGTCGTCCCATGGCCTTCGTTGCTCTAACCGGTCTGGATGTGGTGTATAACGCCGTGCACCGGGCCATCTGGGACGCCTTCTGCGTCAACCGGCGAGCTGACAGAGTTCCCATCTCTTTCAAAGTCCTCCCAGGAGACCATGAATACCCCAAATGTCGCACTAAGGTGAGCAGTAGATGGAGATAAGAGAGTTTTTTCCTTCTTTTACAAACAAATTCCTCTTACTGTGTTTGTGTATGCATCGTTATATACAAAATCTAATTTATTGTATGTGTAAACGTGCTGGGCAAAAATCATGTTTTGGATTCTGTAGTCCATGTACTTAAAAAGACAATAAAATATCCCAACAAACTCAATTTACAGTATAACATTTATTTGCTTACTTGCAAATCACCTCCATCTGTGTTAAGATTAAGGGTGCAAAATACAAATTATTTCCGTTATCGAAAATACTTAAATTATTCATTTACTATACAAAATAGTTGGAGATCATTTTTGTATCAATGAACTTAGGCTGGAGTCACACGAGGACGATAACGCAAACGGACCGAAATCGATATTAGGGATGGGAACGATTAATCGAATATTCAAAATTATTCAGGTATTCGAATAATTATTCATGTATTCGAATATGAGTTATGAATATTTTTATTTATTCATTTTGTTTTTTTTGTTTTTTTGGGAGTGATGCCTAAGTTGATTACATATTATCAAATTGAATAATTCAATGTGTATATATATATATACGACAGTGCCATAGCTGAATGTGTTAGTTGACGTCTAAAGGTGTGTTTTGCTCCGCTCACCGGTCCCTCACAGCTGCAGGTGCTGATCTCTCTCTCTCTCTCGCGTCCGGTTATACTTCACTCGCGTTTATGTCCAAATCTATCAGATCTAGCTAGTTCTAGCCAATGATATGGCTGCTGCCCCTCCCTACACGCAGATCAGGCAGACTCAAACTTCATCTTAGGCCCAAATGTGGCGCAAATGCGCTCCGCAGCCGTTGCGAGGTTCCGGTGTTATGCCGTAGGTTGAAGCCCTGCCGTGGATTGAAGCCCTGTTCGCGGGGACGCGCAAGGGTGACGTCATCGCCTGTATTGAGCTTTTGCCGTTTTTTCACCCTTTTCTAAGCTTTTTTCTCTCTTTTGAATGATATATCAGATTAAACAGCAAACGGCTGAATAAATAATGTGCATACAATTGCGAGGAGGCTCGTTTTAAGGACACGTTTCTCAGATCTGTCACAATCTTCGTATTGGAATAAACTTCCGTTTTTGAGTGTATAGTCCCACTCTGTTATATTCCTCCTTCCTACAGAACAGACAATGACGGGATAATATGTGATTTGTCAATAGTCCTATTTCTTAAAAACTTCTCTGTTGTTTAAGTGTCTGATAACCACGAATAGTAAGCAATGATATAAAAAAAAAAAGTGCCGGTCAGAGGTCTTCTTTGTTATTTATTGAGCTTTAAAACAAATGAATAACGACTCTATATAATAATATAAGAATAAAAAACGGAGCCTCTCTTTTCCTCCCCCTCTTCTTCAGCCCAGCAGCTGATCTCTGAGCAGGAGAGGCGGGGCTATTTCTTCAACGTTATCAGGACATGATCGTATAGGCGTAAACACAGAGCCGTTTGGCCCCCCAGAGCGTTTCGTTTGCAGATCTACCCACCTAGGGACCCGTTATCGTTTTCTGCGTTTCCATGTCGGCCTCGAGTGGCCGAACCGTCTATCTGATAGTGAACTGTAGCAGATACGACCGTTATCGTCCTCGTGTGGCCGGGGCCTTAGTGTTTCAGTTTGAACTAAGATGTTGAAAAACACCAAATGAATCCAGTTGTGAAGTCCCCATGTGAGATAAGCGCTGCAGTCTGTTCAGTATGTATCTTTACCAGTTGTTCTCTGTCTGTCTGTGTAGCGGACATCCTATGAGTGGTACATCCCTAAAGGCATCCTGAAAACAGGATGGATGCATAAACACCTGAACCTGGTACCAGCTCTGGTTGTTCTGTTCTACGAGCTGGACTGGGACGACCCAACATGGAAAGAGAAACAATCTGAATGTGCCACTAAAGTGGAGATTGTAAGGTAGGTGAACATTATTTTAGTTTTAGAAAGGATGTTAATGGGTGACTAGGGTTAGAGTGCTGGTTGATGCCTCAGGCTTCTGTTTGATCAGGCTTACCATCATCTACTTCCACTTATTATGCTGACAAAGTAATAACTTTGGATACATGCTAGGTAATGCATCTCTGCCAGAAGACTGTTGTTGTAGCATTGTTAAAGATGTTTGT